TTGGGAGAAGTAACTAGTAACTATAACTAATTACTTTTTCAAAGTAACGTGCCAAAGACTGCCCAGGACATGCTGGAGGTACTGTTTCCACTGTTCCTGGGCTCAGCTCAGAGGACTTGGAGAAGGTGTCTGGGTAAAGAGAAGTCTCGGCATCTCTGCTGAGACTGCTGCAACCTGACAGCAGATAAACAGAAGACAATGAGTGTGAGTCTTAATAATGTGAGGAATAGAAAAGGTCGGTAAATATCTATCTTTTCTTCTTTCTTTCTCCCATAGGCTCCTTTGACCACCCAGGATAGCGTAGCGGGAATGCTTGATGTAATGTCAACACTAACCGGAAGACACACTGGGCTCCTACTGGACTGGGAGGGCAACGTCATCCCCTGGTAGTTGCCATTGTGACCACTAAGCCCAAATAAAAGAAAAATGAATTCACAAAAAAAAATGTTTGGCTTTCCTTCGTTTTTATCTGTGTCGAAAAAGCAAACATTTGAAAAACTTTTCATAAAGCCAAAAACACGACATCATGATTCAGCAGCTTTTGCAGCCATGATTCAGCCTTTCGGTCTGATCTAGGTTAAAACATGAAAGACAGAAGGAACTTCACCTGGAGTTGCTTCACTTGTTTGAGGATTTAAATGTTTGTTTCTACACAGCTCTTTAAAGACTCGACAGGGCAACACTTCCTCATTTCTGTTATTACATTTTTTAAAAGTATTTCTTCAGTCAAAGCCCTGTGCTAACAATTGAATTGCTGTACTCCTGTCCTCTACCCTTAACATGGCAATGGCACCAAATGATGCACCACTTGTTGATAATGGTCATAGGAAAGTTTAGCCCATTCCTGAATTTGAACTGTGAAGTTTGAGGGCTTTCATTCATGTTTGGCTAATTTCAACACACCTGAATGCAACATCCTGGATTCAAGTTCCCCTTTCTCTTGCCATGTTTCTGCCTCACATAATTTCCTGAATTCAACCATGTTCAACAAGCATATTAAGATCTAGAGTAGAGGTACCAAGCCAACTTTATTCATCAGCACTTTATAAACAGCAACTATTTAAAAATATTTAGTTATCTAAAGACACTTGTTTCAAGCGGGGTAGGACATGAAATTCTTGTGCTGAAGGAACTAAATACGTATGTAAATAAATGCCCAGTTTGGGTATCCACAGTTTTGGAGAGCATCTCTGATGTGTTTCTGTTCTTTGTGCTTCCCTTGTGTCTAGTAGGGACATGTTCTGCCCGGTGTTGTAAGGCTCTGATGACTGAGAGTTTGTGTTTCAGTGGGTGGTGTGAGTCCAAAACACACGCAGCAGAAGATAGCGGTGAAAAAATTAAATGCAAAAACATCACAATCCCTTATGTTGCTGGAGTCTCTGAAAAACTCAAGAGGATTTTCTCCAAACACAAAATCGCAGTACAATTCAAGCCAAACAAAACCCTTAAACAGAGACTAGTGCATCCTAAAGATAAAACCCCCAGACCCAATATGAGCGGAGTGGTGTCTGCTGTTTAATGCAGTGAGGAATGCTCTGATCTTTATATTGGAGAAACCGAGACAACCTCTCCACAGACGCATGGCCCAACACAGAAGAGCGCCCTCCTCGGGAGGTGTAGATTTACACCTTATGGACAAAGGACATGCTTTGGAGGACCAGAATGTTCACATTTTGGACAAAGAAAATAGGTGGTTTGAGAGGGGCGTGAAGGAAGCCATCTATGTTAGGACAGAAAAAAACAACTTTAAACAGAGGGGGTGGACTCAGATTCCAGCTTCCAAAATCGTACAATTCAGTTATAGAGATGATCCCTTCCAGGTATCACCACAACCCCCACCCCATCACAGAGGAACAAAGTACCATCCCCTCTTCAGCTAGGTGAAAAATCCCTCCTTTAACGACCAATTTTCAGAATCATAGACAGGTTTCAGATATTACAGGCTAACAATTGAAACAAACGACCCACTGGTCGGTTTCAATTTGCATGTTTCCAAGCAATACAATGCCTGGTCTATATAAAGACTCAAACTCACTGCGGATGCAGACATTTGAATTGAGAAAGCTTCCTGGAGGGGAAGCGACAAAACTTGGAAACCAAGTCCAGTGGAATGTTTTTTAAACTTTTATGGAATGAAGCAAAATGATGAAAAAGGGGTCCCTATGTCCTCCAGCAGTCTAAGCCTATAGCAGCAGAACTATAGAGATAGCTCAGGATA